GAAATTTGATTTGAGGTTTCAATTGCAGTCAACTGTTTGGCAAACTTCGCGATAAACTTATCCCAAGTCCTGACACTTATAGCGATCGCCGCATCGATACGAATGGCATTCAAATGATTGCAATGTTTTGTAATTGAGTCCAACATCTGGTCATTGGGTTTAGTCTTAGCCGTCAATTCAAGTCGTCTTACGTTTTGGCACTTCTTTAGCGTTGAATCCAATGTTTTTGGTGTAAAACTGCTGTCGATTTGCAACACATTTTGTGTCTCGTATACGACTCTCTGCCACTGTTTGGACACACATTCACATCGGAACCATCAAAGAGTTGTTATAAAAGACAATTCGCCGCAAATTCACGCATTTCTCGATGTCTTCGCTAACATATCGTTGATATCCTGATTGCGACTCAATTTCCGTCAACTGTTTGGCAAACTTCGCGAAAAATTGATCCCAAGTCTCGACGCTTACAGCGATCGCCGCATCGATACGAATGGCATTCAAATGATTGCAATGTTTGGTAATTGAGTCCAACATCTGGTCATTGGGTTTAGTCTTAGCCGTCAATTCAAGTCGTCTTACGTTTTGGCACTTCTTTAGCGTTGAATCCAATGTTTTTGGTGTAAAACTGGTGTCGATTTGCAACACATTTTGTGTCTCGTATACCACTCGTTGCCACTGTTTGGACACACATTCACATCGGAACCGGTCTTCGAGTGATAGGAAAGACAATAAGTGTTGACACAAATCATCGCCGAAGCGGTCGATACTGTCCTTCGGATAGTCTTTGGCGAAGACTTGCTTATCGTTTGTGTCACCACTTCTTGCGGCCATTCCTCGCCTTTTATGAGACATTTTAGACATGACTTCAAATGAATGGCAAATGTATTGATACGACAATTAATACCATTATTTGGATACAAATGGCATTTAATTCATAAATGGTTTTGATGTGAATTCACATGAAATCTAAACACGTTTTCCAACACTTTGTGTGACCTCTGACTCAAAGTCAATGCAAATCACAAAAGGTGTGCGAATCACGTGATACTAATTGGCGCTACATTTGAATCATTAAATTATATAATTTTTAAATCTTTTTGCTTTTAGTCTTATTATAATTTATTTGACATTTAATTGTGGATATACTGTATAGCATTTTACATGATTAATATGCAATATAAATATAATTATACCTCAAACAATACCTGAAGTATGGTTTCAAATAGTTTGTTAATTTTAATAAAACACAGTACAGTATCAGTAATTTTAATTATAATTATAGAAACTATAGGTATAATAGTATTATAAATGCAACTATATTTGCAAAACATTTTCGCCATTTATAGAAATCTCAACAATTTTATGGCAATTATTGGTGAGACTCTTGAGATCAGTTTCACTGAACTCTTCACTGCCATAGAGTCTAATGGTTTGAATGCTTGACATTAAAGACATGCCATTCAATAGACTTGTAGTGATATGAATGCAATTAATATATAGGTATTTGAGGTGAGGTTTGGACACCAAATAGTCATTAATCGTTATATTTTTGGCAAATAATAGCGTTAAATGTGTTAATCTATTCAAACGACTCAGAGATTCACTCATTAATGCAAACTCTGCGATGAAATGCCCGTTAATTTGCAGTCGTTTTAATTGATTGAAGTATTCATTAATTGTTTTTATTAATTGACTTAAGTTTTCATTGCTATCGTTGTTCACATCCAGCGATAAACTCTTGATTTGAGTACAATTAACGCCAATTTGTCTCAATTCACGCAAATTTAATGCAATTGAATAGCAATGAATGCGTAAATCAATTAATTCACGCATTTGTGATAAACCAGTCATTAGTTTTGAAATCGATTTCTGGTCACAACTATAATGAGTGAACACTTCCAGTGATTTCAAACTTTTTCCGCAGTTTTGCGCAAATATTGGCAAACTATTGATGTCTTGATTGCCGTAATAAATGACTGTTTTATGGAGTTTTGTGAACAACATCTCGTTTTCAGTACCAATTAATAACGGAATTATTTTAAACTTATTATCAAAATAAAAGTCATGATTTATCGCAATTTGTGTTAAATTTGTGCAAAACTTGAGATTCGCTTCAATGGACTTCCAAATGGTTTGGTTTTCAAACTTTATATCGACTCTAATTGTCTTCAATTGTTTGGCAAACTTTGCGAAAAACTTATTCATTTTGTCAACACTTTTATCGATCGGTATTTCAATGCAAATATCGTTCAATTGATTGCAATGTTTTATAATTGACTTAAATATGAAGTCTTTTGTGCGAAACCTTTCATTTTCCGTGAATTTAATTTTTGCTATATTTCTGCACTTTCTTAGCATTAATTCAAATGATTTCGCAATTAGTTTACGATTTAATTGCTTATTAATTGTGAGCTCTGTTTGTGTCTCGTATACCACTCGTTGCCACTGTTTGGACACACATTGACATCGGAACCGGTCTTCGAGTGATAGGAAAGACAATAAGTGTTGACACAAATCATCACCGAATCGGTCCAAAGAGTCTTTGCCGAAGACGTACCACTCATTTGTATCATTACTGTTTGCGACCATTTCTTACCAGTTATGAGACAATACTCTAAAAGTGTTTTGAAACCCAATTAACGTGTTTTCACTTTATATTTCTATTCATACAATTGAATACCTGTTAAAATTGGTCCCAAAAAACAATTATTATTTTCAATTCATATAAAATACAAAAACATTGTAATCATTATTATTGGCAAACAATTAAGACATTTAATCAAAACATGTGTTTCCATAACAATGAGTTAACCTTCAAATCAATGATACAGTAAAATGCGCTCAAATTGAATGATTTATTAATAACTTATTAATAATAAGTCTAACAATTGTAAGCTCGCTATTAAGCATAATCTGTAATAACATGACATTCATATAAATTTATATATTCAAACGAGTTTTACAAATAATCATAATTTTATGTACAGTATAACAAAATTATACATTAATTCGTGATTATATTACACATAAAGCAAATTTAGATACCGGTGCATAACTTTGACGATTCAAATTAAATTCAGTAATTTTATGGCAATTATTTAACACATTATTAACAGCGGTTTGTGTGCACTCTATGCCACCAAACAGTCTAATAGTACGCAAACCAGTCATTAAACACATGGTATTCAACACGTTATCAGTTATGTTAACATTAAAGAGATCCAAATGTTGAAGTTTCGGCAGATTTTTGTCAATTCCCGCGAAAAACGACTCATTAATTGAATTTATAAACGGTTTGAGTGTTAATCGCGTCAATCGTTTGCATCCATTAAGCGATTCACTCATTAAGACGAAGCCTTCGGGAAAAGTACCGCCGATTACGAGACGTCTTAAGTGTTTGAGGTTTTCGTTAATCGCTTGCAATAACTGCGAGAATATCTCATTTGAATCGACACTCACTTCGAGTGTTAATGACTTGAGTTTCGGACACTTTATAGCGATTTGTTTCATATGAGTGGCGATTAAGTGACAAAACGAAGTCATTTCGCTATAAACACTCAATTCAATCAATTCATGCATTTCTAACACACTATTCAATGCGATCTCATTATAATCGTCGCAATCCTTAATCACTTCAAACGCTTTCAGACTGTGTTTACATGACTTCACGATTAACTCAAAACAGTCGACATTCACGTCGTTATAAAATCTGAACACAAATTTCCGCAACTTTTCAAACATCACCTCATTTTCAGCGCCACTTAAGACACGCCATAGGCTCTGATCGCTGACATAGAGCTGAAGAAGTGTCAGATTCTGGCATTTCTTGAGGTTTTCATTCAGACACCGCTTGATATCCGGGTTGTCATCGGTTTGCAAGTAATTAAATGATTGCAATTGTGTGGCAAACTTCGCCAACAACTGATCCAACGTCTCGACACTTATATCGCTGTTTATATGCATATAAATGTGTGTCAAATGAGCGCAATGTCTGATCATTGAGACAATCATTGACTCGTTTAGCGGAACCTTATATGAAATGAACTCAAATTTGGGATATTTTGACACTTTTCGACTATTAATTCAAATAAGTTTGCATTCATTGAGTAATTCATTTCATTTATCTTATATCCAAATGTAAGCGCCGTTTGTGTCGTATATACCACTCTCTGCCACTGTTTGGACACACATTCGCATCGGAATCGGTCCTCAAATGATAGGTAACTCAACAGGACTTCACATAAATCATCACCAAATCTGTCCAAAGAGTCTTTCGGATAGACTTTCTGTGCATTCATTGTATGACTAGTATATCGTGTAATTAAGCGCAGGTTCAAGTGATATACAACTGGTATGACTTCAACTAACAGCAGACTGACCAACTGTTCACTATTTAGGGTATTTGTCCACAGTGTTTTAAAATGGAAATAGTGTACATTGAATGTTCACTATTTTTAAAATATTTAAAAATTCATATCAGTTGAGCAAACTTTTACAGAAAACTTCTGATATAAAATTAAAAATTAAAGTAAATGTATCCCAAACAAATTATACAGTATTAGTGTTCAGTACATAGTATAATGTGCTTTTAAAAATAGTGTACATTAAATCTAGTATTCATTTATAATTTATTTATTACAATTTATAAATACACTGTATTACCTTCCGAATTTTATTTTTTAGTGTAATATAATGTAATTAATTTTGCAAGTTTAGAACAGTTAAAAATATATATATTAATATATAACTATTTATATATAAAAATAAATATATATATTTGTAAATAGTTTAGTTAAGATTTAATGTAGACTATTTACAAATAAAATAATGTAATATAAAATCTAGAATTTTTCCAAATAGACGGATTTAAAAATCAATTGAATTAGTTGAAATATATTTTTATATACTTAATAAATAAAATGAACGTAATTTCATAATAAGATAACATAATAATTTTTATTGTGGATTGAAAAATTATTATAAAATTTAGATTCAAGAGATCAATTCTTAAAAATATTGTAATTTAAATCTATAATAAAAATTGATGTAACTCCATTCTTCGCCAACACCGAGATCTGGTCGAGAGGTGTGGCCAAGGAAGAGACCAGTCCTACCAGAGCTTCGGACAGTTCAGTAGCCTTTCCCGTGTGGTTGTTGGCCTTAAACTGGAATCCAATGATCAATGGATCCGTTTGGACGGAGTTGTGTTCACTAGTATTGGCCGAAGTGTTGATCATAGGGTTCGTCTGTACACCAATACCCGGACACACTGTTTGGCTGTAATATCATAAATGTTATGACAATCATAAGGAAACCATGAATGCGGTGATTATCACCTGAATTTGTTCCGTGATCTGAGTGGTGGCCACCGATTGTCCAAGTGGTTTGATTCTCAATGTGGCCAAAACTAGCCTATACCCTACATGTTATAATGGATATAGGTTAGTTTTGGCCATATTGAGAATCAAACAAGTTTACACTATTTGTACACTATTTTTCAATTATTTTTGATTTTTGTACACTATTTGAAAAATCAGAACTGGTCAGTCTGACTAACAGTCAAAACTTTTGTTACATAAACTTATATACTAGTTATAAGTATATTAAATTAATAACATATTTTGCTTGATTTAATATTGCAAACCTGTTTAGCACGGGAGTACCTCAAAATCCCGAAAATTATAATAACTATATAAATAATTATTTTTACTTTAGTTAATGTAAAATTCATTGATATTATTAGAGTAATTATTTTCTAACCTAACCTTAATGAGATCATCGCTTTGAATCATACACTGGTTATACACTAATAAAATTCAGCCAATAATTACAATATTTAACAATTGATGAGATATTTATTTACTAGTATGACACTAATTAGCTTTAANTTAGCTTTAAAATAAGTACTCTAATAGTATCAATGAATTTTACATTATTAACTAAATTAAAAATAATTATTTATATTGTTATTATAATTTTCGGGATTTTGATTTTCGGGGTTTTGATTTCGGGATTTTGATATGATACGGTTTAGCACATAAGCCACAAAACTACTATTGTAATATTCTGAATTAAAAGGGACTAAATTATTGCTATAAATGATACAGTATTGTAGACCTGTTTTATATACTGAACTAAAACATACCGATAAAACCAGTTGATTACACTAGTATTGATATTATGCAATCGTATTACACTTTTTACAGATGATACCATGTAATACACTGTATCTAAATGATAACTGTGCAAGTATTAATACAAAGGATACACTTTATAAGTCTAATTATAATTTATAAATAGTGGCAAAAATAAAGTATTATAAGTTATAATTGATAAGAATTACTGCTATAATAGATTAAACATTATTTGTTTCAATTTGTATTTGTATGTCATTCGCAAACCGGTGATTAAAAACTCATTTTGTACTCATTGTCACAATAAAACACTTAATTTTATTTCGCACTAACTTTACATAATTAATGAAACATTTATTACGCAAATTATAAATTAATTGCAATACATTTACCGGTAATTATCAAAACATATAAGTTATGAAAAACGTGTCATTCGTTTGTGAATACAAAAACATTGAAATCGTATTCATTTTAATTGAACACTCGTTTCATTTCGCAATCAATTGTCTGTCAATCAAACTAACCGTACGCTAAGCCACACCTTCTCCCTCACCCCCGTCCCCATCGGGCAGCGCCTGTAAGTAAGCTAACAGTTGATCCAATTTGCTGTTTATGAGTTCCCACTTAGGGTTACGCTGTTTAATAGTAATAGACCGGAGTTTAGGGCACATGTCGTTCAACCGCTGGACAACCGTTTTGCTCGTATAGCCCGTTATGTCACACATGATAATAGTCTGTAGTTTCGGTAAACGAGACAATGAATTGAGCGCCGGTTTCGTGATTTTGGCGTATCTTATATGTAGGCTCTGGAGGGCCGGTAGGTGTCGATCGATGCCCACAAGGAATAGGTCGTCATTTTTGGGGGTATTTATCGTGAGATGAGTTAATCGTTTCAATCGATGCAGTGATTCACTCGTTAACGCAAACTCTTCGGGAAAATTGCCGCTAATTTGGAGTCGTTTTAATTGTTTCAAGTTTTCATTAATTGTTTTCATTAATTCACTTAAGTTTTCATTGCTATCGATATCGATAACCAGAGACACACTCTTGAGGTTCAGACAATTGACGCCAATTTGTTTCAAATGGTTTAGAAAAACACTGAAATCGGGTTTAAACGTGACTTTCAAGTCGACCAAAGCCGACATTCGCGACAAACCAGTCATCAGTATATCAATACACTTGTCATCGGTGTTGAAGTCATCGACGAACACATCAATCGCTTTCACAGTATTTCTATAGCTTTTGGCAAACGTCTCGAAATGGTTGACGTTTTCTGTATCGAAATAAATGTGTATTTTCTGTAGTCTTGCGAACGAAACCTCATTCCCATTATCGCCGCATAATAGCCGCAAAACATTGATCCCATTCTCGCACTCATTCACTATAAGACGGCTTATGTTTGGACACCGTTTCAGACCCGCACTCGTGGTGGACATCAAGTCGTCATTTTCGGTCAACACTAACACATTCACTGCACTTAACTGTCGGCCAAAGTGTCGGAAAAACCTCTCAATTGACTCAACGCTTACGCTATCATTGAGTGTCATATGAATGGCATTCAAATGAGTGCACCGTTTGGTGATTGAGTCCAACCACGGGTTGTGTTTGCGGTTCACGACTAATGTCTTCACGTTTTGGCATTTCTTGAGTATTGAGTCCAACGTCTTCTCAGTTATAGTCAACTCATTGGAGTCCAAGTCCTCGTGAGTTATCTCCGTTACGGTCGTGTATATCAATCGCTGCCACTGTTTGGACACACATTCACATCGGAACCGGTCTTCGAGCGATAGGTAAGACAATAAGTGTTGACACAAATCATCGCCCAATCGGTCCATCGATTGCTTCATATTTGTGTCACTCCTGAGACCAACTCTTCTGCCAATCATTTGAGACATAACTTGACATCAATTGACAACTGATTTAATACACCATTCAATACAAATGTAATCAACAATTAAATCAAAACACATACCTTTCCCACTGAACTACCGGCGCTCTGAACGCAACGAAAGTGTAATTGTTTTAATACTTATGACAAAACATATGATTGACTAATAAATAGCAGTTATTATAACATTAATTAATTAATCGCATAACAAATGAATGATTAGTTTGAATGCTTCACACAATCAAATCAAATCTCAGACACTGTTTACAAACACATTGAGTGACAGACAGCGAGTGAACTCATAGTGTTCTACACGCGTCCGCGGCTTTCATAACGCGGATGACATATGTCATGACATGACCGTACATATTGCAAACCTGTCCTTCCGTCCAGTTTTCAACATTTAATTAATTTTATTTAATTAATTATAATTTATATTAAACTAATCTCTTCGATAACATAACTAAGTTGATTTGTATTATAGAATAAAAATTTATAACTTGGTTACATATTCATAGGTTTAATTTATTTTAAGAAAATAGTCATTAAACTCGCGTCCTTTCGCGTTATTTGTACAGATAATACGTATATAAATTCGAATTGAAGGATACGCGCCCCTTATGTCATACATTAAAGTTTGTGCATTTCTATTAATAATCACGAATTAAATGTTTGAAATGCTTTTAATATGATTAGGTATACTACTACTATCTTGCTAATCACTTTGAAGCACTATAACATGAATAATTAATTATGCTAATTATGTGATGAAATACATACCCAATTGAACGACACGTCCGACATATGTCATAAGGACGGACATATTGGTCCATTTCATTTGTAGAACCCTACTCATAGTGAACACCAACACGAGTGCCATCTGTCATACAATTTGTGAACACGTGTCACATATTATCGGTGTTTCACTTCAATTGATTGCAATGAATAACACAATTAGTAAATGACGTAATCCTATGAATGTGATTACATTTAATGATACGTGTAATGCATATATTGCGGTCATTATGAATGTTACACTTATATAAAACACCGTTTCATTGATTGTAGTGTTTGTGTGCATTGTATTAAAAAAGTCGTCCAAAACAATGAGTGAATGAAAAGTTTGCGATGAATTGAGTTTCAAATGAAAACTTTTAATAAACTTTTTATTCATGTCTTTCAATGAACTTATTGTGAATTTTGATACAAACTTTGACATCATTTTTATTATAGCTTACAATTTAATCACTTTTTTGTGACAATTTTTTGTAAATCAATACAAAAAACTTTTAATAAAAGTTTTTAATACCGTATCGACTTTCCATAGAAACTGATTGACAGTATTAGAGATATTAAAAGTTATTAAACACTTAAAACACACAAATGTCTCAAATCTACGGCAAAGACTCTTTGGACCGATTCGGTGACGATTTGTGTCAACACTTATTGTCTTTCCTATCACTCGAAGACCGGTTCCGATGTGAATGTGTGTCCAAACAGTGGCAGAGAGTGGTATATCACACACAACACGAGTTGTCGTTATTTGGCCACCGATTCAGGGATGGGATGAAAGACAAGGCGTTCGCATCTGTACTGAAAAAGTGTAAAAACATCTCAAGTATTGCATTGACGGCCAAAAGCGCACGGATTGAGTCACTCATCAGATATTGTCGTCAATTGACGGCAATTCATGTCATCTTTCGGCGCGAATTAAGTGCCGATAAAATGAACCGATTTTTCGCGAAGTTTGCCAAACATTTGAAAGCAATTAAAATATGCGTTTCGTTTGAAAATGGTTTGCGTTTTGCGGGCCTTTTGCGCGAAAATCTCAAGTGTTGTCAACGTTTGACACGAATCCGAGACTCAAGACATCGATATGTGTTATAAGAGATGTGTTTCGCAATTATTATGCGCTCATGAATGCGAGGTTTTGTTCAAGAAGTTGCAAAAAGTTGATTACAATTACGACACTCAACGCGTCGATAGTTTTGCGGTGTTTGCGAAAAACTACGGCAAATGTTTGAAATCAATTTCAGTGACTATTGATACCTATAATTGCGACGAGAAGTCCATTGAGATACTAATGAAGAGTTTGTCACTAATGTCGGCATTAATTGATTTACAGATTTGTTGTTTTAGAGACACATTAAGCGCTATAGTTGTGAACCAATTGATACAAATGGGCACTAAATACGCGAAACTCAAGAGACTGTCACTTCATTTGAGGATCACGTCCAGCAAAACATTCACTCAAACGGTACAAACAATTGGCACAAACTTTAAGCAATGAAAACGTCCGCAAATGTCATCGTTATTGTCGTCGCCTTTCATACTAATGAGTGAATCGCTGAATGGTTTGAAACGATTGACACGTTTAACACTTTATAACTTGACGTTTCTGTTTGTCAACCAAATGCACGACTCGTTTGCCAGACTTCAGTACTTATCGCTCAGTAGAGTCCATACGTTCGCCGACGTCTTGGAGACTTGGCGTTCACCTCAAAGTGGCCGACAATGCGAACCATACGAGTAGATGGCGACCAAGAGTTGGTTCACTTCTTAGTACAGAATTTCGGGCCAAAAGTGTCCGAAAATTGTCGAGATTTCTATGAATAGTAGAAATTTGTTGTCCGATACATACCAGTCCTATGCGTACTATTAACCGTAGTATCGGCATAATGTTGTCGTTTTTACTGTGTTTAATGAGATAATCATATAATGAGACCATAGAGTTAAGCGTTTTAATGTTTGATGCAAATATTTTTGGTATTAAAACTTAGTATTAAAAAAACTTTTTTCTGTCATTGTATGATATTTAAAGTTTTAAAAATTATATGAACTTATTTCATAATCAATGTATTTGTCAGATAATAATCAATTAAATACTAAACTATTGAATAATAGTCATTCAAATTGAGCGCATATTTCGCACAATAACTGTATTGACGTTTGTATTGGACTTAGCGTACGCTCAACACACGCATCAAAACCATTTAACTGACACTCGATTCCCGGCTTCGCACGCATAACCAGTTAACACAGTTTGGCGCACTTATGGCAAACATGTGGCTCTTGTTTTTATGAGTGGCTCTGGTTTTGTGTGATTTGCACAACAATTTCATTCATTCATCGCTTGTTTTACACATCATTTCAATTGAAAGCGTTAATTAAAATGTCGTTTCATTTGATCCAATGATTTGAATGCGAAAAGCCTTTCAATTATCAATAAATACAGCGAAAAGTGTCCCAAAAATATTGGTCTCATTTGATTGCAGTGTTTGTGTGCATTGACTGCAAACACAGCGAGTATTGTATTCAACGGTAATTCACATGAAATGAATGATTAGTTTATATCTCATTATCTCATTGTCTTTACCGCCGATGGCTAGCATTTGGTTCATTGGTTTCGCGGGTTTTGTGTCCAAAGATGTCTTCAGTCGGCGACAAAGAGCTGTCACTCCAGGGGCTGTCCATCAAAGGCGAGTCCAACGCACCGGAAGTCGGCCGCAAAGACTCCGTCGACCGCTTCGGCGACGCTTTGACTCAACGGTTATTGTCTTATCTCGCGCTCGAAGACCGGTTCCGCTTGGAATGCGTGTCCAAACGGTTTCAGAGGGTTGTCTACGAGCCGGTGACGGACCTAATCATTGGCGACCACTTGAGTACAAAACTGAACGACAAGTCCTTTGAGTCGATACTCAAGAAGTGTAAACACATCACGAGAATCGAGTTAACGGTCAATAACTCGAGGCTCGAGTCGATTGTCAAACACTGCCCCCAATTGGCGGCAATCGATGTCCGGTTTGACGGCGACATCAGCGACGAGATAATGGATCAGTTCTTCGCCACTTTCGCCAAACAACTGAAATCAATAAAAGCCTACATTTTGTGCGAATACATCACTGTCTGGAAGTGTTTGGAGACTAATCTCAAGAGTTGCGCCGAAGTCACCAAAATAGCCGTTCAATACGATTATCACAACTATTTTGGCGACAATTTACTGCATCTGATGAGCGGTGACGACGACAATGAGGTGCTGTTCCCGAAGCTGAAGGCAATGGACTTCGTGTTCGCCGCGCACGACATCAACCACTTCGAGACGTTTGTCCGGAACTACGGCCAGAGATTGACCGCAATTGAGGTGACAGTGGATGAGAGGAACTGCGACGACAAGGCGATGGCTGTCCTGTTGGGCGGTGTGTCGCGGATGCCGGCCCTCAAGGACCTGAAGATCGCCAGCAGTTCCATCGACTCCATGGACTCATTGCCCACGCAATTGAAGCAAATCGGCCTAAACTGCGCTCAATTGAAGCGCCTGTCGCTCGACCTGAACACGAAGTCCAACAAAACCTTCCGGCAGACCATCCAAACGATTAACGATAACTACCGACGCATTCGGCGCCTGGAGTTCAGCGGAAACCCGACCAAAGAGTTCGTACTAATGAGCGACTCGTTCAACGGGTTGACCCGTTTGTCGCACCTGACGCTACTGAACGTGACGTTCCTGTTCGTGAACCAAATACACGACTCGTTCCCACGGCTTCAGTACCTACGGCTCCGGAAAGTGAACATCTCGGACGACGTCCTCGAGTTGGTCTCGAAGTTGCCTCTTTACGCCTGGTAAGCAGACCTGCCGCCGGTTCTGAAGCGGCTATGCCGCGAGGTGGTTGAGTAGCGGTCAACGGAGTTCTAACAGCTCTAGAGCTACTTATCATCGCAGTTTTGCCAAACTAGCGACAATTTGGTGTCTAAACACACCGCGAGTACTGAAAAACAAAACTTTTTAATTTCACTTTTAATTTAATTAAAAACAATTTTATTATAAAAAAATCGGATTAAAAATCGACCCGTTTTTCTCATAATTTAATTTTTTTAGTTTTTATTTTCGAGTTTCTTTTTATTTCAATGGAATGATTGTTATATTCAATAATTAATTATAATTATAATTATAATAATAATAATTATATTTATATATATGTTTTCATTCATTTTAAAAATATGCGAAATTATCATGAAATGTATGAATGAAAATAAAAAACACTTAAAATTGTCATAAATTAAACATAATGTCAGACATTTGTCGTATTTTAAAAAACACATCTGCTTTTGATTTTAAAAAACAAAATTTAAAAAAAACTAATAATTATTTTCACAATAGTTTTGGTCATTAAAAAACAGTTCAAAAAACATTTTGCTTTCAATTATTACAATAAAAAAAGGGTTTTGTTAACTAAACTCCGAGAGACAGTCAAAAAAATTAACTCAAAAATGAACACAAAAATTATTTTCCGTATGTTTTCTCAAAACGCTTTTATAATCAAATGAATTGAATCTTTAAAAATACTTTTAAGTCATAAAAAGTTTTTGTTTTGTTTTGTTTTGTGTCAGTATTTCGTATTCACACTTAAAATCATTAATTTGTCGCTTAGTTTCAGATTTTATACGATTAAAGCCATGGATTAGTGGGTCGGGGGGAGCAGAGGGTTGTGGACCGGGGGTAAAGTGTGGCCCTGAATATACTATATAACAAATGGCTGAGCACGTGGTTTGTGAGCACCGACACCTTTGACACCCCCTTCTTAATACACATCGAGTGACAAACACTACTACAGTATTCCTATAGATAACGCTAAACTAAACCTATCGGTAACCCCACGGGTTAGCCCTCCCCCCGAATGGTAATGGCCGGTAAGGGGGTTTCGGGTAGAGTTGAAGGCAGACATAATCACAACTCCCTGTCCTATTGAGCCATAACTGTTATTAATCACAAACCCCTGCCGTATGAGCTCTAGAATTGACTTATATTTTACACAATTATATTATTGGTGGGGTTTACGGGTTGTCTGTGACCAGTGGGGGGTTATATTTATAAGTACAGGCCTCCCATTCCCAGCCACCCATGGCTTTGCACAAAAAGCATATCAAATATGTGACAAAAATAGCAAATCAAATGATTATTCAATTTTTAAAAAATCTTAATCTCAGACATGATATACTCGACTGAATCGTTAGTTTTTGGGAAATAATTGTAATTAAAAAATGCAAAACAATTTGTTTTGTTTAGTCTTTTTTTGTGTCTATTTTCAAATCAAATTTGTTGTCGTATTTCGCATATCATATCAACTGATCTGTTGTGACAATTGGCGGCAATGGATGTAATGAATGGTGTGCAATCATCACAACGAATGACAATAACAGTAGCGGAACGGTAGCCGTAAAAACACACAATAAATGCCACAATAAAACATGTGTTATGTTTACAAGATATAGACATCGAGAGACAGATATATAGTGTCTGTGAGTGAGCGGTGAGAGAGAGAGACAGAGATAAAGAGTTGACAGCCTATGAGAGCGATGGGAACGACAGTTTACCGGCAATGGACAGGCATTCAGTCATCGAATTGAATCAAATATCTTAAACACGTTTGTTGGCTATTGAACACAATATACTCGTTATAATTCAGTTCATTATACACGTCGTTGGCATCGGACTGTTGTTGGCGTACGGGTGCGCCCATCGGAACGGTACGACCTATCAGTACAGACACATATGAATACTAAATACCAGTGCGACTAGACTTCAGCCATACCTTTCCAGTAGACACAAGACTGCGGGTCCGGTATGTGTTGAGTGTGCGATGTCTTCACGCTATGTCTGTCGGCGCTCAACACAAATGGTTTGTCGGACAGGTCTCGGGTGCGGACGTCCTGTACGGCACCCAACGATACTTCGCATAAAAACGCAAACTTTTGTCCGTTAGAGTCGGCGCCGAACGCACCGGTAGAACAGTAGGACTGACTTTTGGCGAACATATCGGCGAAATATATTCCCTACGAAAGCAAATAAACCATAAATTAGTGCACAAGTCATCAAATTAGAGTGCATTGAGCGTAAGGCAGGGGTCACCTAATTATAAGACTATATTTTGTAATTCATGTTTTGTTTGGTTTTTAAAAAAAGTAATGCAAATCAGAATTGTGTGTAAAATCAGTGGAAATTCATTCCCATATCCGCAACAAATGGTTTTCATCACATGTTTTGCATTAATTATATAACATTTTCTTATACTTTATTAGAGTAACAGAAAGCATATCCTAATCGTGTAATCCCTTCCCATTCAGCAAATTGAAACGATTTGCAATACCTTTCCGAACAGATGACCAGACATTTGTGCACTCAATGGCGACTTCTGGAGCCCTTTGGCCAAAATGCTCAACACGTTGGCAGCTCTGGTCCCGTGCCATAAGAGCCACCGGTTGTCAACACCCCAGGGCAGCTTGCGGAAAAGGAGAGGCAACGCCAATTGGGATATTTGTGAAAACTGTTAGCGAAACGGCATTACACACCACAACACCTACATGACGTCTTAGTCAACTGTAAGGAGAAGTAAGGACACCAACAGCTGGAGATGACATCCGAGAGATTTGTAGATATAGTCACTCGGATTCACATCCCGGAGCCGATACTGTGCGGCCAATAAGAGCTCAAAGGCGTACTCGAAATGAACCAAATTATGGATCAACTCTTGTTTGTCTCGCAACGCCTCGCGAGTGAACAGTGGACTCAGTCTCTCGTATTGACCTCCAAATAGTGGCAATAAATGATAGAATTGTTCGCTTCGGTCAATGATATCGTTTGTGAGTCGGAAATAGTCTTGCGATTGGTTTCCTTTAATACCATTCCTCTCATCGATTAATGTCTCGATTTGTGTCAACAAAGACTCGGCGGTCAGTAGTGTCTCATCGGATAAGAGACCGAATGGTGTGAACGACTCGTCCGACAGAGACCTATAGGACTCATCACTCGAGTGAATGCCAATCAAAGTCTTCATTATCGAGTGCAACGGTTCCGGGAGTTTAGGCTCAACAGCACCAGTGGTCACCGCCTTATTCACGGCATCCATCTTATAATGCCTTTGCTTCTGGTGTCGGCGCTTCTTATGGTCCACAATACGATACTTCTTAGGCTGAGCTGCGAACTCCTTAACCGCTTCCCATTGGTTACCGGTTTTGGCTTTGAATACCTTCTTGAACTCAACCACCGCCGCCTCCACTGTGGCGTACGATGTCTTGTGGTACTGATCCAATTCGCCCACATTTCCCCAACGGGTGAACAATAGCACCGAATTCGCAGACTTTTGTTCAATGATTTGTATTTTGTAGAAGTGATACAAACCGATGGGTTTGCACTCGAGATCTACTTTCGTCAGCAGCACATCGTATGGCAACTCAAGACTCGTATCCATCGCCAGCTCTCTGTTCGCGGGATTTCAATGCAAAATACGATTAGTTTTCAATCATTTAATGCGAAAAACGCATAAAACTGTTAACACATACGCGCCATCGACGCCCACGTGCGGGTCGGGTATGAACTCCGCTTCTTTGGCATCCGTTTCCATGACTTCCGCGTCTAACTGTTCGCACATTTTCTTCGCGTCCGACTTGTAATCAAACTCTTCGCTCAGGAAATTGGTCTCAATTTTGGGAAACGCAGCCAATACTGGAGCCGGAGGTTGGGTCGACTCCGACTTCGATAGCTCTCGGAATGTATGTATCAAATGGCGGGCATTCCTATCGACGGCTATCTTGTAGGCGGTCTGTCCCTCATTGTTGGCCACATCCATGAGTTGTGTCTCGGGGTTGGAGACATCTCTCACCGCCGGCCATATTATCCGTAAAATCACATCAGAGTTAAGGTATGTATAGCCGGCCAGTGGGGCCGCCAAGTGATGTAATACTGTACATCCGGTTGAGTCTTTGGCGGTGAGGTCCACGCCAGTGGCGCCCGACTCCGAGGTATGACTACTGGACTCCGAGTCCTCATCGGGAGTGTAGCTTCGGTTTAGCACAAGTTTAACCATTTTTAAGTCATTCTGCGATTAAATTGTATTATAATTTATGAATCAATAAAACAATTCAATTCACAATGAAATCACAATTGAAAATCAATAATAAAACACAAAATTCTTTACCAAACGGACGGAATGCATGATTGGAGTCCTTCCCAGACTGTCGGCGCGGTTCACGTCGACCGCAAACGCGTCGTTAATCTTGAGATTAAGTAAATACTTAACCAAAGGATAATTGCCACAAATCACGGCGTATATCAATGGCGTGTATTTGACAGCACCGGCAGCCGCAACTACTGGACTCCGAGTCCTCATCGGGAGTGTAGCTTCGGTTTAGCACAAGTTTAACCATTTTTAAGTCATTCTGCGATTAAATTGTATTATAATTTATGAATCAATAAAACAATTCAATTCACAATAAAATCACAATTGAAAATCAATAGTAAAACACAAAATCCTTTACCAAACGGACGGAATGCATGATTGGAGTCCTTCCCAGACTGTCGGCGCGGTTCACGTCGACCGCAAACGCGTCGTTAATCTTGAGATTAAGTAAATACTTAACCAAAGGATAATTGCCACAAATCACGGCGTATATCAATGGCGTGTATTTGACAGCACCGGCAGCCGCGGCGGCCACTGGCGTCGGGTTAGTGACCGTAAACCTGACGCCGGCGTACGGACTCTCACTAATCGGATAATACGATACGGCGTTCAACTGTTGCGGACTCTTCTCCAGCAGTTGTGTCAACCAATGGTGCATCGGTTCCGGTAATGACTGATCGGAACCAGTAGTGCGGCGCTTATGTATGTCCCAAAACACGGCCGATATGGGTGTCCTGAGCAGTGAGTCCGGCTCCAGAGCCACCACTTTGTCGATACCGCCCAACACTTGGGTCAACTCATCGCACAAAATGTAGTTCCAGTTCATTGCCGAATATATTATGGCGTTGGACTTGAACTGCTGGTCCAACTGACGGGACTGCACGTCCAGACCCACCAACAGCCGCACCACTTGCTTCTGGAGCTCGTGGCTGTGATTGTCATCTATAGTGACTGCGCTTTCTTTGGCCAACACGTGAAGCAGTGTCTTATCACTGGAGTGAAGGGTACGGCTGTTCTTCACTCGTTTCAGTAGTTTAATGGCGAGATTGAGGCGTTCCGTACGGAGGGCCGACTCGATGACAATACCCACTCCTTTACCCATTGTTGACAACTCGTTGATCATTAAGTACAGGAGTCCTGAATAGCAATCATGAATAACACGATAAAAGTTAATACTCTCGAGAATAAGACATGAAATACTAGTTTATAAAACATTTTAAAGTCATAAAAAACTTGTGAATATAGGGGCCAAAACAGTGTGGAGTGTGGGGGAGGTTTAAAGGAGGGGTCACCTAATTATAAGTCTATTTCAAGCTTAAATTAGTTTTAAAAAAGTAATGCAAATCAGAATTGTGTGTAAAATCAGTGGAAATTCATTCCCATATCCGCAACAAATGGTTTTCATCACATGTTTTGCATAATACTCTTAATTAAAATAACAATTACTAAAGACAGAATAAGACATGAAATACTAGTTTATAAAACATTTTAAAGTCATAAAAAACTTGTGAATATAGGGGCCAAAACAGTGTGGAGTGTGGGGGAGGTTTAAAGGAGGGGTCACCTAATTATAAGTCTAAATTTTTTCATTACGTTTAGTCTTAACACACATTTTAGTCACCTTTAAGTAAGGGTATAGGCGTTGTTTACCAAAAGTAGTGTACAAAACGTATTATGAGAATTAATTTTATTGTTAATGATTTCTGTATGCCAACCCTCCCGTATCCACACAGAGTTACTCATAACATGACATACCGTTCCAATTCTTGCGCACCACCTCTTCAATGATAGAACAATGAGCTTTTTTGGTGTCCAACTCTCGGTTGTATTTCTCGAGATCTTTCACGCGATTCCATCGCCAGAGGGACGCCTTCTCGTCGGTCAGCCGCAGCTCCGGCCGTGTATTCAGGTTACCGACCGGTCGTATAAATGCCGCCCCTTTTTGCTGAAGCATTAGCGCGCAGCCTATCAATCAAAACAGAAATACACATCAACTCAATGCTAAACACATCACTGAATGGACAGGTAGTCCGCACCCATACCTTCGTGCCCGTAGAGCACCGCCAGTCCCAGCGGTGTATTGTTGTTATCATCGGTGGGATTGATGTTCATTCGCCTCAGTATATGCATACACGAAATGGTTGCCCCTCTCTGTGCCGCGTAATGCAATGGTGTGGACCCAAACCGGTCGGCCACGTCTGTGCCGCTGCCTATATGGTCGCCACCGCCCGACGCGCCGTCCCTATCGCTGGGGTCCAGGAGTGCCACCAATTCGATGGGATCCATATGCGAGTGGTCTCTATGGGCGCCTATTTTCACGAACGCGTAGTGCAATGGTATCCGTTTCCTGATGTCCTTGGCGTCCAATCGGGCGCCGCCTTTCAGTAGGCGCTCCTCCAAGTCGTATATCTCTTCGGGTCCGCCATTTCGACTGTTTATCGCCAAATGGAGTGGAGTTCGGCCTAAAAGATAGCATAAAATTATTGGAAAAAACAATCAAAAAAAACTCAAATTCATAAACAGTTTGCAAACCATTTTTATTGACGGCATTCACATCAGCGCCGGCATTGATGAGGGCGTTGAGCGCCTCGAGCGCACCCTTTTGCGAGGCCCTGGAGGCCACCAAATGGAGCGCTGTATTGCGGGACTCGTCGACCGTCTCTTTAATGTCGGCCCCCTTTTCCACCAGAAGTGGTATCAAATCGAAAGACCGCTTATTGTTCAGCGCCTCCCACGCGAGCAGCGATAGGTTCGCCTCCTTTTCGAACCGGTATTTACAGTCAGCGCCGGCTTTCACGAGCTGTCGCGCGGCCTCCGTATTGCCCTCAGCGACGGCCACCGCGAGGGCTGTCCTCTGCTGACCGTCCAATTGGTCCAGTAGTGGAAAGTGAGACAAAACGAGTCGCACAAACTCCGGCGTACGGCACCGGGCGGTCATATGCACGACAAACTCCAAGTCGGTCGCGGAGTCGACCGACACTACCGGCGCGTTGATATCCGACTCCAGTTTCTCGACGAGAATCGTCAACATCTCGAACAGCCGTTCAGTTTGTTCCGCCGAATACTGACCAGAATATAGTGTGAGAAACGCGTGGAGTGGCCGCAGACCCGACTTATTGCTGGCGGCGGCCATCTCTTTGAGCGCCGACTGGTGCTGTAGTGACTCGTCGGCGGCGCCGGTGTCTAACATCTCTTGGAGATAACCGGCCACTGATTTGTGACGCGCGTTGGCGACGACGGTGTGCAGCGACTCCATGGCGTGCGCCACGAACTGGTGGACTTATCACAACGGGAGAAACAGCGGCATCCGCACGTCAACAAACCCCAAGCGGAGGTCCTCCGCAAAGTTGCGGCTGCCCCAAAACCCGCCGCTGACTCGGGAGTGACCGCTGACGAATTACCACCCGCCGGCGGCGGCAGCTTTGGGCACCTTTTTAGGCTTCGGTAACGCCTTTTTGGGTGCCTTTTTAGGCGGCGGTGAGGGCGTAGTGGTGGCCGAGGAGGACGAGTCGGACAGCTGGGAACGCCTCCTCTGCTGCACGACCTCTGGTTTGGCTGAGCGCGCCCTCGTCTTCAGTTTCTGGACCACATCCGCAATACCGGGCTTTTTGGCTGAAAAAATAGACAAATTAAGCCAATAATCCATAAAAGGGTTGAATGAATACGAGAGACACGGGAGGGGAGGTTAATGGAAAAGGCGTTTAAACGGGATTTCATGCAAATTATAGCATGTAAATCCGCTACTGAACCTTCTCGGCCGCCCGCTATGTGACCCGCAGCGAGATGACGACGGGCTGCTTGCCCAGCTGGCCGCCTGTCAGCTGAGAAATGAGTCTGAGGACAACTCTCGCTGCGTAGCCTTAGCGCCCGACCCGCCGCCAGTGGCTCTCGTAGTGGTTGCCGTCTGACTGACAGCCGTTGAATGCGACGACTTCTTAGTCTTTTTGGCTAACGAACCGCCACTGGAGGGGCCGTTAGCTTTGAGTGGAGGCGCGGCTGAGACGACACCGCGTTTGGTCTGCCGCGTAGTGGAGGCGCCGGCAGGCGGCGACCCTTTAGAAGGCGTGGCAACGGCCGCAGAGTTGGCACCGCTTTTCGACGACTTAGTCTTCATGTGTTTACCGCCGACTGAGCCGACGGTACTGCCGGCGCCGCCACTGACTTGCGATGGTTTGACACTCCGTTTGGGACTAAAGACAAACTCGTCAAGGAAGAGGAGCCGGAAAGGGTGCTGGCTATGCAGGTGAGGTAGCCGGCAGTGAAACTCGCGGCCCAGGCTGCTCCCCAACTATGGGACAAATGCGCGTTATTGTATTGTGTGTGTTAGTTCAACACTTGTAAAGGGATTGAGGGCCGGGATTCGAGCGCTAAACTACACAAACAAAATACTAGACCTAAGGGGAAGGAATGTAAAAAACAGTCACAAAACGACTGCATTATTACAGACAATAATTTATCCAAAACTCTCACTACAATCACTAAACACCTAACAAAACCATAACTACAGTATAGTGGGGACAGTAATAGCGGGCCATACCTTCTCGACATTGATAGCCCTCTGGAGTATATTCATAATCCTCTGCTTCTCATCGCCGGGCAGTTCGTATCGACCCTTATCTAAGCGGTCGAGCGTAACGTTTGTCAAAATGCACTCAAAGTCCGTCACGTCGTAGAAGTCGTGAGTGTAAAGCGATGGCCGACTCTTATCGTTGTTATTGAACCATAAGATCTTAAATTTCCTCGACTTCTTGAACACGTTTTGTATCTGTTTGAGCAGTTCCTTCTCCTCGGCCTTTCCCACGACCGATACGTCCACTCCATCGGCCGTCACTTTGAGCGCCGGGTCCGACGAGGGGTTGATACCCTGTTTACGCGCAATAACATAACACACCGTTAGTTCAACACTTGTAAAGGGATTGAGGGCCGGGATTTGAGCGCTAAACTACACAAACAAAATACTAGACCTAAGGGGAAAGGGATGTAAAAAAAACAGTCACAAAACGACTGCATTATTACAGACAATAATTTACCCAAAACTCTCACTACAATCACTAAACACCTAACAAACCCATAACTACAGTATAGTGGGGACAGTAATAGCGGGCCATACCTTCTCGACATTGATAGCCCTCTGGAGTATATTCATAATCCTCTGCTTCTCATCGTCGGGAAGTTCGTATCGACCCTTATCTAAGCGGTCGAGCGTAAGGTTTGTCAAAATGCACTCAAAGTCCGTCACGTCGTAGAAGTCGTGAGTGTAAAGCGATGGCCGACTCTTATCGTTGTTATTGAACCATAAGATCTTAAATTTCCTCGACTTCTTGAACACGTTTTGTTTGGCTCTACAGATGTAGTAGCCGTTGGTCTCGTTCCTGACGGCCAGGAACTCGTTCTTGTGGTATATAATCACTTTGTCCTCCTCTTCCCGTTTAGCACCGGTAGGCGTAGTGCCCGACGTGGACGCCCGGTTCCACAGCGGTATGGCTAGCATGGGTTCCGGCGACTGGAAGGGCTGGTACTGGAGGCGCACCCGCTTCGAGGCTCGCTTATCGCCCCCATTCTCGGTCATTGGAGGGGCGGTGCCACCGCTGGTTCGCTGGGGTTTAGCGGTCGCCACGACTTTAGTCTCGAGTTTGCGTTTAGACGACCGCTGTTTGGGCTCCACTTTAGGCACAGAATTAGTATTCGCTTCTAAATAGTAACCGAAAATCACACAAACAAACAAATTAATCACAAAATCAATTACAAAATTAATTAATACGTTAAAAACAGTTATTAAAATCAGAAATTAAGTGTAAAATCAATGCAAAAACAATTCATTCCCATATCCGCAACAAAAAAGGGTTTCATCAGAAATAACACAACAACACAATCGACATAACAGTGCCCCCAACACAGCGTACCTGAGCTCGACTTCTGCGCGGCCAGGAATGCGGCCTTAAGTACGGGCGTCGGCTGACTCTTCGTCGCCCTCACGAGACTCGGGTTAATGTGCATCTGATTGCCACTCCCGGCGCCCGCCAAATGCGGCGGAACGGGCGATGAGGGGGACCTCTTGTGGGCGACAACGGGCTGCGCTTTGCTCTTACTGGCCAACGGCGCCAGTAGTGCCGCCGCGTTCGCAGCGGCCGCCGCTGCCCTCCCATTGGTCGTGGTCTTAGTGGCCGTGGACTTAGCGCCTGGCGATCCCGTATTATTGGTCACGTTTTGCGGCGAATGTCTGGTGACGCGCCGGCCGTCATCACCGGCAGCGCTGTTTTGTGTCGACTTCTTGGCGCCGACGATGGCGAACGTGTTCTGAGACTTCTTATCGGCGCCGCCTTTCGACGACTTTTGTTGCGTTAACACCAGCGCCGGCACCACTGGTGGCTGCGGCGGCACCGGTGGTTGCGCTGGGGGTACGGCAGTGGTGGGTGCCGGCGGTAGCGCTCCGGGTAATGGCGGAGAGAGTGGCGTTAGAGTTGTCAGTGACTGCGGCGGTGATATGGGTTGGGAGGCGTCCACCAGCACCGGCTGTATCTCTTGTTTAGCTGCCGGTAGGGAACTGGTAGCCAATGGCGCTGAGATTACGGGCCCCGTTGGGGGTACTGGAGCCGACTTTGTGGCCATTTTGTTCTCCTATACACACAAAACACAATTAGTTAATAAAAAATCTCATAAATAAATGGCAAAAACGGTATTTCAAATAGGGATACGACTGACCATCGGAACGGTAGCATCGTTTGCGTGATATCCGCCGACAATACCATTGGTTT